TATATATATATATATATATATATATATATATATATATATATATATATATATATATATATATATATATATATATATATATATATATATGTATATACATATATATATAAATGGACGACATTAGATGTTCCACAATGGTTCACATTCTATTTAATGAATTGTAAAGAATAAGGCTTTTACTAGAACCTTTTTTTGTTTTGTAGTTTAACTCGTACGGCTATGGAGCATATGGTTACGGGCAACAAGTGGCTACTCCTTATGGACACGATGAAACGGGAATGATGCAAGGTGTGATGGGTCCGGGAACTGGCGGAGGTGGTAGTTGCGGCAGCTCAGGAGGAGCCTACAATGCTCGCTATCATTTCCAAGCGGCACAGAATGCTGGGTTCGATACTGGTAGTGAAGATCATCAACCAAGAACTGTGTATGTTCCTTTCTGGCCTCTTGTATTTCAGGTTTTTCATCCGTTCATTTTGTTATAAAGTGGTATGGTGTGGTAACTCATCCATACTGAATTACGGCATATGCTCACAACATTCGTTGAATTTTACCATACATTGCTGTTTCTATAGTGTAAATTTCAGCTATGTTGGAAATTTGGATTAAATTTCAGCTATGTTGGAAATTTGGATCCAAGTATAACTGAGGACTTTATTACCACGTTATTTGGGCAGATTGGTGCTGTTACGAAAACAAAAGTCATCTTTGATGTACGTCTTTCGTTTTTGCTCAAGGTTTTAAAATTGTGATAGTTTGAAATTTCGAGGTATTTGAGAGAAATATGTGCATTATTTTTGCAACTTGTTATTGTTTACAATATCATTCACGTCCGCTTTGGTGGGTAGCGACGCTTCTTTATTATTTTTATTCAAATTTTTTTCATTTATTCCTCATTCATTCTTTATGCGCTTTCTGGTACATTCATTATTGTAAAGAGTTTTGAATTTTTCTCCTTTCAATAGAAAAAGAAAAATCGGACGTGACATGATATGTATGCAGATAATAAGGGAGATATACACATGGCGTTGTTGGTAAGGACTACTTGATGCTAATTGCTACTACAACTACCACTGTTACTACTTTATTGCACATCTCACAAACAGGATGTGGATATGATATGAATATGTGAATATTTGGAGAACAGGGAGAGTGTACTCAAGTTGTCTCATATACACAGACTCTAATTCACAAACATGCCGGGGCATTTCGCGCTCTTTGGCTAAGTACCAATTTTTTCAAATTTAATTATTTCATCATTTTCATTATATCTTTGAAGTTTTTTCATTCTTTTTCAATTCATTCATTCGCTTTCCTTCTTTTTATTATCGTCCAATTTTCTTCAACTTCCATTTATTAAAACGAAAAGAAAAATCATACACACTTACTAGAAAGATAAAAAACCATTGAACGCAAATACCTTGAGACTGCATCACTCCATGCAACGGTAAGTACCTGATGACATTACACAGCATCCCGATTCCAATTATCTGAAAGCAGGAGGTGATTATGTACTTGATAGCAGTAGTAGTAGTAGGAGGAGGTGCGAGTAGGGAAGGGTATATTGTCGACTGAAACAAAACAGGTGAGTATCAGATGTGCAACAATATTTGACGCTGTCCTGTTTTTGAGCCCTTCGGTTTTGTATATTTCGAATTGCTTTTAAATTTTTGTTGCTTCGAACTTTTTCTGCTTGAAATTGAGGAAGACAAAAATGTGACAGCGTCAGAGCAAAGTAATTTATATAATTTAAGGTATTTTTCATATTTATTTTACAGGGAACCAATGATCCATATGCTTTCGTGGAATTCGCTGATCACTATACTGCTGCGCAAGCATTGCAGGCAATGAACAAAAGAGTGCTTTTGGAAAAGGTTCATTTTATGGACACAACTTTTCATAACTAAGCTCACAAAGCTTTCTTGCTGTTGCAGCTGTATACTACATTTTAGTGCGTTGAAATTTTTGTGATTAGCAAATGTTAGTTTGGAAAATCGTGACGGTGGAGTAATTTGGAATTGCTACCTTTCACTGCAATCTAGTATATGTTTCAGGGGATAAGTTTCCATCGCTCAGAATGACAACTAGGACAACTCATTACTAAAACTCAATGACAACTCTCCATTAATTAGGAATGTGCAGTTCAACTTAGGTTATGTTAAAATCTATCATTATTTAGAGAATGTCCAACTTGAGAGAAAAATCTTTAGGAAATGAAGGTGAACTGGGCTACTGAACCAGGATCACAAGCCAAAGTGGATACCAGTAAACACTTCCATGTATTTGTTGGCGATTTGTCTCCAGAAGTTGATAATAAGGCATTGAAAGATGCATTCGCTCCATTCGGAGAAGTTTCGTAAGTTTTTTTTTCTCTTTAGCTCAGTTTTTGATGGATTAGGCTTAAAATATTTCCTTAAGAAAAGGACAGTTTGGGAGATTACTGGTGTTTGGCAGTAATCGTTCTAATTGCATTCTGTAACATTGTTCTGTTTTTTTTTGTTCATTATAGGGATGCTAAAGTAATTAGGGATGCAACAACTTTGAAATCAAAAGGCTATGGATTTGTTTCTTACCCGAAGAGAGAGGTAAATGTTTTAACCTTTACTTATAATTTGTATTTTTTGATGATATCCCAAGTTTTTGATGAATATTTTTTTCTTTTTGGTAATATACCTCATTTTCCAGCCTGAAACAATTGCACGTTTTATGGTTTTGAAAAGTGTACCTGTCGACAGTAGTACATTATACAATGTCAAATTTATCAGCCAGATATAACAAGGAAATAGAAACAAAAAGTGAACAAATCCTTCATTTAGGAGGCGGAGCGAGCAATAGAACAAATGAATGGTCAGTGGTTAGGACGACGAACAATTCGCACAAATTGGGCAACACGTAAACCAACTGGTACGGGTGCCGGTGATGGACAGTATGGACGCACCGAGTTGAATTACGATGACGTCTATAATCAGACGGGTCCGGATAATACATCTGTATACGTCGGAAATGTTAACTCAAGCGCTAATGGTAGGTCACTCGATGTATTGTTGAAATACTTGAGTGTTAGTAGCATTGAGAGCAATAGTTTGTCAGAGAGAAGCACTTCTTAAGAGCTTACCTGTGTTGCTGTTGTAATGGGCCGTCTTGGTGCATTTATGAAGCGTTATCGCATGGTTAGTGTCAGAGAAGTGCTATAATATTGAAATTTTTGTAACACAATCATTCCTCGAGCTGTAAGACACTCGAGGTGTATTTGTGCTTCTACAGTTTTAATAACATTTTGAAAAGGTATTTAGATAGAAATGACAGTGACTGTTATGCCGATGGTTCGAGCAACTTAATTACATCGTTTGAGTCGTTCCTACTTCTTTTTTCATGAAATTTAGGAAGATAAGAAAGCTATCTTCTTTAAGAAGATGTAAGGATATGCATTATTATAGCGATCGCATGTATTGTTTTGTTAAGGGATTCAAGCATTATTTTATTCAAACATTATCTATTCGTTTTTATTGATTTCAAAGGTTCTTTTTTAGATGAAGACCTACGAGCTGCATTTGACAAATTCGGCCGTATCCTAGAAGTTCGAATCTTCAAATCACAGGGATATGCATTTGTGCGTTTCGACAAAAAGGATTCTGCTTGTAACGCTATTTGCAAAATGAATGGACAAGAATTGTGCGGTCAGAACATAAAATGCTCTTGGGGAAGAACACCTGAGGTTAGTCTTCATTGACTTTCATTCATTATGGGACTTTCTGCTTCATCAGTTTCACTAGTCGCTGTTTAATGGCAAATGCTATTTTATATGCTTATCATATTTTGCGTTCCACATGTCGTTATGATAGCTTCAGAGTACTAATACTGATATTTTACACCGCCAACAGCGGGTTAGACAAAGTTGGGAAATCACACTAAGATGTGTGAAGTTCAGGTTTTTGACTCAAGTCTTTCGTTTTTCCTTTTGTAATGTATAAGTTATGCTTTCAGCATCTAGACATTAGTTCTAAAAGTTTCTCCTTAGGGTCACAATCAGCAGGCCAATGCTTACAATCAAGCCCAAGCGTATGCAAATTACGGTGGTTATGGAGCCTATGGCTATGGAAATGGTGCGTCAGGTGGTCCAGGTGGTAGTGCTGCAGCGCAGCAACAATACTGGAATTACTATCAGCAATATTACAGTAATCCACAGCTTGTTCAGCAGCAGTGGCAGAGGTTAGTTGAGATTTTGACGTTGCAATTGTTATATGTTGAGTTTTAAACTTCATAGAACAGAAAATTACACATCTTATAAAAAGAAGTATTCAAAAGTCTTTCACTTATTTCTTCTTGGAAAGATGTAACTATCCCATGGTCTTCAATATTTGGTGCCTTGTAAGAATCAAAGTCTTTTAAGCATGAGAGAATCTTACTTGTTTTGTTTTAACTTACTTATTTTGTCTTAGTCCATGCATGTGTTTGATTTTAGAACACCTATACAATCTCAATTTTCTTGGTGCGGATTAAATGAAGCATTTATTTGTTCAGCTTCATTTTTTTTCTGTATGTTTCAGTTACTGGCAGCAGCAGCAGCCACAAGGTGGAAATCAGTAAATGGAATAAAGCGAAATATTAGGAGGGCAGTTCTTTTATTTGAATTTCTGCGCGAAGGAATCTTTTAAAATAATTTTGAACAATTAACATTTCTCCCAAACACTTTTCATTGCTACACTTTTTTTAAACTTAATCATACATATTTCATTTATTTATTGTTATTCAAACAGCGCATCTCATTGATTTCCCATTGATTTTTTTTCTTCAGTACGAACAGTACATACTTCCTCCGCTAAATTTCCAATAATATTCTGTGCTTTTGTTCTTTTCCAATTACTTTTTTAAACAATTTACTTTTTTGTTTATTTATGTCATGGGCAATTAAGCACATTATTGGGCTTATCGTCGGATTTTTTTTTTTCTATACTTACATTTTTTTTATTGTCGAGGATTTCCTTTTTCTGTTTTGTAATGTTTTCTTTTCCGAGTGATTAAGCGAACTTTTTGATTTCAGTTATGCATGTTTCATTTATCCATTCTCATATAATTCTGTTGACAGTAAGACCTATTTAGTTAGTTTGTGCCTAGAAGGATAAACAGAATATAGAAGAGAAAATAATAGCTTGGTCTTAATTTCTCGGAAAAAATTTAAATATATAGAGTAAAAACTAAGTAATTGTGATATGGCATAGTTTGCATTTTCAGTAAAAGGCTTGTTTTTTTTTTCTTTAAGCATGTTTGGCTCCATTTTTCTCTCTGGTTTTTTCTTCTATATCTTCTATATTAGCGATTGTTCATTTCATTTTCTTCCCATTTGTCGGCGTTCAGGCATGATTTTTCGTATTTTTCATAGGAGTATGCGTACCAATGTTATCATTGTTTTTGTTAGAATAATGCCATCTTTGTTCAGTAAGTTCTGTTTCTCCTAATGAAAGCAATGTGAAGCCAGCTGACTTACACATTTCACTATCGCAATCCTGAAAGCATTCTGAAGCTTATATGTATTACGAGAAATTATGCTTTAAATACGTTACAAATGTTATTCGGAATTTTTTAATATTCAAGATTTTTAAAATCTAAATCTGGACTTTTTTTATGGTGATTTATGGTGAGAAATAACTAAAGCTGAAGAAGACGAAGAACGAAGCAGAAATACAGGAGTATGTGGGATTACACCAGACTAAATTATGAAATATGAAAGTGTTTTGAAATCTTCGGGAATTAAAAGGCTAAAGTTTATAGTACTACTGATGCTATTCCTCTCAGTTCTCGGCGGATACACGTGTATAATAACATTGGAGAGAAGCGAGAGTTTTGGGAAGTTATGCGGAACTTTAGATCTAGTATAATTTCAGATCATATCGATTTTTAAAGTGTGGAGACGTATTACGTGTACTGCCATTTATGAAGCTTTTATTTACATTGCGTTCATAAGTGAAGTCTACTGGTTTGTCACTAATCACAAATATTTTCAAAAATTTTGAAGATCACAAGTAGTTTAATATGAACAAAGGGGATACTAGACATCATTCATTTTCAGCTTTACCCCCATCATATCACCGGTGTAGCAGTACTCGTCTCCTCTGCTGAAATCGAGATCATTCAAGCTTGTCATAGCTTGATAATCCAAATTAAATAGGTTCTACAGGTGTTGCAACCAAGTGTCATTGATGAGCTGTTTATCCTCACGTAGACGTCCTTTACAAACCTATATTCAGGCTGAGTGATATCAAAGGCACACAAACTATTTTAAAGGGGGGAGTGCGCCCTGCGATAATGTCGCATGTACCGAATTCAATAGCCATTGTGTAACCGTTTTCATCTTCTGTTGACCATTATATTTCGAGATTTCTTTGATCAAAATAAAGTTATCTGTCCCCGTTGACCGGTTGTCTAATTTACGGTACTCACACTGTGCAAAGAAAACAAGGACATCGCATAATCGATTAATTCCCTTGGTATACGGCAACATGAATGAGTTCAGATCGAATATTATCTGCAGGTATAAACTTCACTGTAATAGTGTCTTGGCTTTGAACTATCTTCTCTTCCATGCTTTATTACTTTCTTTGCCAAACATGAAAGGAAGATAATACAGAAAAGTTTTTGCAGCTGTTCAATACTATGTTGGATATATTATCAATCAAAAATTTTGTAGAGAGAAAAGCTATGACATCCTTTCCATTCACACTGCTGAACAAAGACGCAAATATTACTGTCATCATGAGCAAATAAGGCAAATATTCTGGAATCAAAAAAATCCAAGTGCTTCCGGGCTTCCGGGTTCTAAGTCACTCTAACCACAACCAGAAACTAACCTCCGCTATTCCTTTTCTTCGATAAGAAAGCATCACCTGTCATTACACAGTGGTTAAAAAATTATCAGAAATGGTGGTATGATTGGGCTTCCCTCTTGAACCAGAAAGAGTAGGTTGATAGTAGTGGAATTTTCATCTCTAACAAGATAATTCTCTTTCAGGATTTCGAAAGACAGTTAGATTGTTTGTTGGAGAAAGATCTTCAATAAATCACCATCCAGGCTTTACCTTGACTAACACTTATAATTATATCACATCGTTTATTTGAATTAACAGCATGCATAAAGATAGAAATAACTAATATGCATTCCTGATTTTTTTTGGTTTGAAATTTACCGCATTGTTTCTAATTTTTCCGGTTCTCTTTCGTATTTTATTCTTCGTTATCTGCATGAGTTTTTAATTTCATGTTTTGACTATCTCGATGTGAAGCACTTTTCACTCTTTTGATTTTCTTCGACACATTTGATTTATCCGTTGGGTCTGTCTCTTCATCTTTCAGGCTCTTGATTGGTTCAAGTGTATCGTCTTCATCAGATCGAGACTGCAAAAATCAAAGTCGACAATGCTTGCCTTGGAATAAAGTCACTTGCTGGACAAAGAGCCCAATTAAGTTTGAAATTTAATTTGAGGTTCAGTCACTCCAGTATACTGAACAAACTTCCTTTAAAATGAGCGCTTCCAGAAATACCTCCAATAATGCTAATATCATTTTCTGAATTTCTATCAGAACAATGATGACTGTCCCAGTCAAGACTGCGATTTGCTGACTCCGAGAAATTATGGATCAATCATGTTACTGTATGTGTCTTGTTAGCAACTCACCTGGTAGAATCCTTCCTTGATTTTTTCCTCTTTATCTTTTTCAAGCGCTTCTTCTCGTTTTCTTTTTGTTGATGGTGTCGGTTCCGCAACAGGTGGATAAAATGCTTTTTTATCATCTGGACAGGCAAGTTGTCCGGGACTGTCACCATGAAAGCCTACGCCACGTAACTAGCAAATTAAACTCTTACAGAGTTTCAAAAAACCGTATTTTTTTAACAATTGAAGGGTATCATCTTCAACCCTCTATGTAAGAAAATATTTCGAAAACATCGGAAAGCATATTTGGCTTCAGAGATTACTCAAGTAATAGTAATTAAATGTGAAAAAAAAGAAAAAGAACTCTGTAGTCCAAACGTCTAACCTGATTTGACGCTGCATTATCATTGTTATGTGCTTTCTTTTTTTTATTATTCCTCTGCAATCTTTTTAAACTTTGTAAGATGGTAATACTGCAATTCATAGCTTAATCAAGAAATCAGTTAAATAAAATCAGGCAGGCTAAACGCAAATATGCAAAAGCTTGAAATATATGATACAGATGAAACATGAAATCCCTCCAACTTATAGTGATGTAAACTTTCCCTTCTAATGACTACAAAAAAGAAGAAATGTTGAAAAAAGTAGCAATCAAATATGGAATCTTCTCTTGTCTCTCAGAATTTTCATTTTTAAAACATCTCCATTTCGTTTTTCTTGTGCAAAACAGTTAGAAGGATGGGAATAGATGGGAAGAGAAAGGAAAAACAACACGTTCGTAGGTATGATAATTATATTTTCGACATGTAAAGGTCATTCTGAGAAGATGAAGAGATGTGAAGATAGGTAATGAGCTCCTCTGATAAAAATGATCATAAAGCGGAAAAAAAAGATATACGGGCAGAGTAAGAAGTGTCCAAAACTTGTAGTGATGCAGCAAAAAATTATTAAAATATAGAGGTCAAAGAGCCCATTTGATGGATCAAATAATGCTAAGATGGTTCACTCTTGGTTAAAGTATAAGGAACAATGCAGGAAATGGCATACCTTTCTGTTCTTTATCTCTTTCGTTGGAAAATTTGAAGCTAATAAATCCTCCCTTTTTTTAAATTCATTTTTGGGTATATCTTTTTTAACCTAAAAGAAATCACTGATTAATAGTTAAACGACAACCGATGTGACAGCAATTAAATAAGTTAATCTATGTGTCACAGACTAATTGGAAGGCAATAAAAAATAACAGAGCAATGCAATGGAAATCACACAACAAAAATTTTACAGTTGATAAATATCACCTCATTTTAGGACCAATTGCGAAAGGACAAGTTTGGATTGTTTTGCTGAAAATGCAAGTCACTTCCACGTGTGTCTTCTGTCTATAGGAAATAAGAAATCAAAAATTCGGAATGCAAATGTTAAACTCAACGACATCAACAACAGATTATTGCTAGAAATTAATACGTAGTGAATATGAGCAAACAAACTTCTTTTTTTCATTTGATATAAGTGTTTTCCGAATAGAATCTAAATCTTTCTTCAAGTTTTTCTTCTTATTCGAACATAGAACTGTTGACATGATCATTATCATGGCTACAGCAACTGTCATTCGTGTTAACTGCAAACCTTTCTCCCGACAAATAAATTAAGATATAGAAAATAGTGAACTTCCGCCATCACATTGGAAATAATAGTTCGGCATTCAGAATTACGTAGAAAAGTCTTTTTAAGTAAAGAAGGATCAAGTAAAAAAGGTCTTTTCAGGATGGTAAACAGCACCAGTTCTTATGGTTATAGTGGTACTAAGAATGGCACGTCATATAGTCAGAAAGTGTTTCTGTACCAGTCCATCGGAACAGCCGAAATGTTATTATTTGGCTTGGTAGACCTTTGCTTAGCAAGGACTAAATGAGATCTTAATAATGCTGCTAAAATATTCCATCTAGCTACCATTATACGGGGTATACTCTTCAGCAATCATTTATAAGGATCAGCATATAAATATCGTTATTTAATCTGGTGAATTTGGGGATTGTCAACTGCCTATAACATTTTGAAAGAGAATCACGCTGTCAATGTCGAGATATTTCAAGCGACACAAGATAGTATGGGACAAAGTTCTTGTATAATAATTTCGAGCAAAAGAAAAAATTAGTTGAGAAATGTACTGCAATTATTATGGACTGCATATTTATGGACATATTATTTAACAGGTAAGCTGCGAATTGTTTTCCGCACATGTCAACAATTTTCGTGGGAAATTATCCTGCACACTGAAAAGGGAAACTTTAGAACTGTAATGGACGATACTTTTTGAGCTTTGTGCAACATTTAAGTTAACATTCAACTTTGAAACCCTTTTTCAATTTCAATATTGCTTTGCAGTGTTTTTTGTCAGAGTAAAAATGTCATGGAAATTTAAGGTCAAAGTGATTAGAACAGTTTGGAAGGTGGGGAAACATCTTCTAAGAAGCAGTCGATAAGTTCTGCTCCATAAATCGTGTTTGATCCCTGAACCATTCGGGAAAGATCAAATCTTTAGAAAATCATCGTAACTAAGCGATCATTTCTCTACTAAGTCTTCTTGATTTTTTGGTACTTTCAGTGAAAACAGGAAATATGAAATATGCAAAATTTCCAGATTTTCGAGACTCCACGTATAATGTATCCATTTTAACGGAGCTATAAAAAACGTTTCTCCTTTTTATTCCGATGAAATATTTAACTGCCAAATGCTTTAAACATAGCAAATCTTTCGAAGGATAAGCGAAATAAAAACGGTTGATTCTATTTCTACTTCTTTTTTTCATTTTCGCTTTTTTCTGGCAAAATTTCAATATGTCATTCTCATTCTTGGTCTTGCTGAGAGATTTAAAGAACATGTCTGTAATGATTCACACGTACATGTTGAATTATTTGC